CCATGGCTTATGTGCTTTTCCCCTGTTGAGCGCCCTCCGGGAACCACCTCCATAACTTCGTTCAGAGAATCGTTTGGCAGATTTTGAATGCAGATTTGAAATCAGCATCAAAAAATACGTTTAGCAGTATGGGTCAGATTTCAAATGGCCACTTCGACTTGGGATCCTTCCCTTGTTAGTAGGATATTCCACAGTTTAGGAAGCATGACGGGTCCTCGATGAAGAACGTCATTGAGAGATGGAGCGTTCTTCAGGTGGGCGGACGCATCATATACAATCCTCAACTTGGTTGTGTTCTTGCTAGGGGTGAGAACTGCCCGATGAGGCAAGTAATGAACTATATCCCCGTGGAGAGGTCTGTCTTCATCTACTTCTTCAATACTATCGCGATCTAGTTGAGTTTGAATTGTTTACTGATACTGTTGTAGTATTTCAGGTGTAGTTCTCAGTTTGCCTATCAGGGTTTGTAGGCGACATAGAGCAAGAGTCCTGTTGTCAGGCAGCTATTGAGCGTCTTTTTTTCCAGGGGAAGCGTACATAGTAACCATCCTCCTTTCTTTCAATGGTTTTTTCAAATGCGTTCCATTCAGCGTGGTCTGTTTTCCGACGTTCCTCTGTCTTTGGGCCACCGAATTTGCCCACTCCAGACGATTCGAAAGTACAGAAGTCTTCCCACGATTGCACTGTCGCTTCAGATTCCACTTGTTCCACTCCTTTCAGTGTGTGTATCGTCATTTCCTTCTCGTCCTTGTTGATTGTCACAGAGGAATCCCTGTTGTATCCCGCTACTAGATAACCAAGCATGGATGAAATGAGTCGATACCCTGATGGTAGTATGTGCTGTGGCGTCATGCCGTGGTCCAAAAGAAAAAAGAGGTCGGTGCAGCTTAGAAGTATTTGTGGGCTGATGCTTGTCAGATTCGGGTTTATGGAGAGTTGCATTTCATTTCCAAAGAGGAACCGTTTATCCTCGAGGCTGAGGCGATTCCGTTTCAGTGACTGGGTGATTGTGTCGATCCTTGTGTCCTTGAATGTGTATTGTGTGCCATTAGCGTCCCACAGTTGGACTGTTGTGACACCACATGTTTTTGATATTGGCTGCTGTGAGCCGAAAGTGTTGATATTGAGCCTTACGGACTCAATGTCTCTGAGGTGCAACCTCCTTGCAAGTCTGCTGCTTGTGAATGATCTATCGGCGCCCAAATCAAAAATGACGCGGTCAGGTTCCAATGTTCCCGTGGCTGGGTTGTGCACTTTAGCCTCTCCTGCTAGGACCATATCGTTTCCGCGATTGTCGAGGTGGAGTACGTTATCTTCATTTGAGCTCAAGCTTTGTTTGGAATCCGAAGTTTGATATTTGACGATTTTGAGGATGTGCGTTGTGCACTCTTTATTCTTTGCTTCTTTGGGTTCTGGCACGTTTGCGAAGTGTTGTTTGGGAAGAGAGTTTTACAAATTGAGGTGTGGTGTCCAATGATCCCACACATTCTGCAAGCTCCTTTAGCATGTTGCTGCTGTATGATCTCTTTGGCCGCAATTACGGCACAGTTTTTGCTTTCTTATGATCTCGAGACGCTGTTCAAGTGTAGGGACTTCAGTGCAGTTCTTCGCACTATGTCCTGTTTTTGAACAGTAAAAACAAAGCTTCGAATGTTGAAGCTCCTCTGGTTTGCCTTTCGTCACAGTTTTCTTTCCTTCTATCATGACACTTGCATGGTTCCCTTTGTTACTGAATATGTTCCGCTCGACTTGACCTATGATTCTCAGTTCAGCCTCTACAAACTCGTTTGCGATTTTCAAGAGGGACATCGTGTTCCATTTCCCTTCCCTTGGAGTTTTGCTTTCTGACGGAGTATCTGTCTCTGGACGTCCACGGAAAACTTTCCAAGAAGTTGTTTCTGCAGGAATGTGTTATCGATATGTTCTCCGCGAAGATGCAGTTGTGACGTAATGGAAGTAAGTTGCTCGCATGAGGTTTCTTGATCTCTGAGGTTGTCGCTGATCGACTCGATCGATTGCAGCTTACTCAGTAGTCGATCTACCAATGCCTGCGCGTCTCCGTACTTCCTTTTCAAGTGCGCGATGACTAGATCATATGTGTGACCCGCGACCTGAAAACGCTTGACTGATTCCTTAGCTGCTCCCTGTGACGCGTCGAGGAGATAGCTCATGCTGTACATGTCGTCGATATTCTTGGAGTGCACGCTACGCTCAAAACATTGCCAAAAGGGCTCCCACTCCCAAATGTCTCCTCCGAATTTGGGTATTGGTATTGACGTTAGCGTGATTCCAGACTGTCCCAAAGATGTGTTTTTGGGTTTTCGGAATCGACCAGATCTTTTGCAGCTCCGTTAGCCTCCTCAAATTGTTATGCGCGCCATCCAGGAGTCTCTGGACGGCATCAATGTGAGCCTCTGTCAATTGAGAAGGTCCGTTTTTGAATGAAACTCGTCCGCGCTGTCGATTGCTTGCGCGTACCGGTCCATCGCTTCTTTGACCTTCTGCATCTCCAGTAGGTACGATGCTTTCGTCTTCTTGAACAGCTTTTGCATTTCGATGATGTCGCAAGTTTCCTTGTTGAGGCTGAGTAGACCAGTGTGTGTCTCTAGGATCCGTGTGAGGCGGTTTTGTGCTCTCGTCAGAACACCTTGTCTTACAGCGATCAGAGAACACATCTCCAATGTAGAAAGAGAGAGAAAGGAAAGGGGAACTCGAATTTTCAATGGTTCACTCACTTGTCTTCGTTTCTTCGTTCCTGAGCGTATATCGGCCGATGCACCATATGATAATTCCGGGTCTTGTGGGTGTTCTGCTGCCACGCGGGACTTCTTTTAGCTTTATTGAATTGAAGACCGAACGAACAGGAGCCGGAGGAAGTGGACGAATGTACTTGTAGAAAGAATGGACCATACTTCCTCTATCGCTCTTTAATACTGAATGATTCGAGAATATGATGAACACCGGATCATTTTGAACTATCCTAAATAACAATCAGTTCTACGTCATTCTTGATAACACATGCTACGCTGGGTATAGAGGAATCTCTATAGTTACGGAACATTTTTGCCCTGTGTTATACCACTGAGTTGAATTAATAAGAAAACCGCAAAAAAAATTCCTGTATGTGAAGGAGATGTGCATTTGGAAAGGCGACGGTCACATATACAGTAGCGCTCAAAAGTCTTCGGTGAAATGTTTTGACGCTTTTTCGTTCATAACGTTTTTCTCAGTAGACCAAATCGCGCGAAATTTGAATATGTTCAACTAGAGCATATTTCACCTCACCCAACATTATTTGACTGCGAAGCTGCAACATCCACAGATAGAGCAAGGTGTTTGTTGCGGTAGCAGATTTTGCTAAAACTAAAGTTGTTGACGCCTCCACTTATCCGCACCGTATGAGTGTTTTTCTTATCTATAGTGTCCGGCATTACCGCTCGTACACCTTAAACATGACAAAAAGGAATAAGATTTTAGGAGGACCATCATCTGTATTTTTTAGTTGATTTTGAGTTCATGCTCTTGGGAATATCTGGAACATGATCAGACTGCAAGTTTATAGTGGCAAATATTCACAACACACCCACGATCCAAATATAGAAATTTCGCAAGATCAGATCCAGTAGGAAAGGAGTTACGACGGTAGAGTACGGCTGGGGAACTATTTCACCGAAGACTTTTGAGCGCTACTGTACGTAACGCGTAGATTTAAATGCATGATGTGTTCACTTGTTTCACTTTTTCATGAAATGTGCCGTGAACGTTTGCAAAACGTTTTACGCCTCATATTGTCTCTCTACGACCTAGCCTACATTTGAGGAACGTATTTCAAGAGAAGTATTTTCGTTCCTTTTTTGGCCGATGAAGGGTGCAACTAATTTTAA